TGTGTGTGTGTGTGTGTGTGTGTGTGTGTGTGTGTGTGTGTGTGTGTGTGTGTGTGTGTGTGTGTGTGTGTGTGTCCAGGTGTGTCTGTGTACATGTGTGCGTTGGTCAGTGTGTGTAAGTGTATGTGTGGCAGTGTAGAAGAGGAAATGGATACATGAGGACGTGAGTTTGAGATCTACTTACTTTCACAGAGGTTTCCATGTCGTCAGGTTTGATTCGCCACGGCCCACTGGGAATTCCAGTTACACCGTTTAGGTACGTGAATATCTGGGGAAAACAAAATGTACCCGATTTAAAAAAATCCTGACCATCGATCCCTGGAGTTTTAAACGTTTTTAAACTAGTCATTATCGCTTTATCTGCAAGTCTTAAGGAAAGACACAGATAATATGACGTAAAGGGGCAACAAAATGTGTAGCCTAAATATCTACTTGATGATTATATGTACAATACTGGGGGCGACTTTTCAGTAGTAGTGGCTAATGAATATGGGCGCTTTCTAAATGGAGAATGCACGGGAAGATTGTTGTGTTTCAAAAAAGTCTACTAGTATTTCTTTTGTTTCCACTGCATCCTTTACAATACTTTCAGACTCCCCCTGAAACACTGACTTTCACATAAAAGTTTTGAGGCACCATTTCTCTGTGTGTTTACTGGTCCCTTTGCAATTGGGTAAGAATATGTTTTGTCACCAATCCCCATGATCTTTTAGTAAATTAACCCAACAGGCATAAATTACCGTACCTTGGAGCAGTCAGTAAGCAGTTTCATGACGTCAGGAACAGGAGGCTGGCAACCGTCCGAGTCGCCTGCGGATGGAAGGTACTCGTGAGTGATTGTATGTTCATATCAATCATATGAATTGGAATGTGATGTTTGCCCAGTTGACGTGAATCGTGAATGTGCGTGAATATCGCTGCCGCTCGTGAGTCGGCTGTGGTTCCGCTAACCTCCGATGGGCGCAATTTTAAGTAACAAGTTTTTTTCCATTTTATCATGTCCTAAACTCAAACATAGGTTTTTTTATTCTTCTCCAGTGCACCCTACTATAATTTCAACCGTGTCGATGTCAGTCAAGTCGCGTGGCCCTCAACCATGCAAATCTGCATACTGTGCTTTGCTACTTGAAGCATCTGTACACATTCAGAACCTTGCAAACTACTAGACAACCACGGTTGGCTGAAGGTTAGCCATTTCAGAACCATTTCCCAGGGGAACAGTAGCCGACCAGTCACCTTGCTCCCAATCAACCTACTCCCTACCATGTCCGGGGAGTTGGTTCGTTTTCGCGAGCCATATTCGGCTGTGTGACAACTTTTTTGTTATGTCATGAAAGTTATGAAACATCCTGTATCTATATCTGTATCATTATAACCGGTATAACCGCCCTTCGGCGTAACACACCAGCTTCGCAGGCACGCGGCGCGGCGGCAGCTAGCTATATCACACCGAACGGCTTGTTACACTCAATCTCCACGATAGTCCGTGGTAAAAAAGTGACGAAAGGGTTTTGAGGGTCCAAGTGTGAGGTGACATTTCTCATAAACTGTCACGAAATATCATTAAACATTAACATGGCTGAAGAGTGTAAGAAATCGTGATTTTGGGGTGAAAATTTCTTTTGGCTCCGAACCTTACTTCCTTGCGCGCCAAGCGTAATCCGCCCGTTTGACCTAGATTTCGCTGTGCGCCTTCCTAGGAGCGGATTTGCAACCCCTCGCGCCGTGGACTGTTAAGAAAATTACAGTACTAGAATTTTCTTTATAATTTACTCGGGTATAGTCAAGGTTTGGGTCTTTCTGCCAGCATCAGTCATTTCTACCGGAAAATTTTTTTCTATGGGATTATGCTGCGCGAAAATTCGCAATTTTGTGCATTAATTTTGGAGTGAAAATAATGTTTTTTCCGTTGATTTTACCAAAATTAAAAAGGTTGAAGAAACCAAACTCAGTTGCTCTTGTAGCTGAAGAGATATCCTTTCGTCCCATATACAGTTATTCTCCTTCCGAATTTTTCCACGACAGAGACGGTCGCTAGATTTGAGGGTGTGCAGCTTCGAATAGAAACCCCAAATAAACTGGGGTGTGCCCCCTTAATTGCAGGAGTTGTTTAAAGCTTTTTAGTGATGATGCCCCTACTGTGCTTGGTTGCAACGAGTTCCAGTGTACGATAGTTCTGGGGAAATACGAGTTTTTGAACACCTTAATTCTTGGTTGATAACTCTGATATTTGAAGGCATGGCTGTTTCTCGTTCTTTTCTGGGCTGGTATCAGATACTTAGTGGTTGGTCCGTCCACCAGTTTATTAGTCATTTTGTACATCATGCACAGTAGTCTGGACATTCTACGTCTGTCTTCCAGCGACCCCCATTGTAGGTTTCTTTTCATTTCCGTTACACTAGCACCCCTTTGATAGTTATTCGTGCAGAATCTTGCAGCTTGGTTCTGTACCCTTTCCAGTTTATCTTTGTCTTTCTTTGTATATGGATCCCCGGTAGTACTGTCGGGGCATATTCTAGATTCGGTCTTACAAGCGACGTGTACGCAAGTGATTTTACCCTTGTTGGGCATGACCACAGATTGCGCTTAATCACTCCCAATGTCTGTTTGGCCTTCGCAGTGATGTTGTTAACATGCGTGCCCCACTTAAGGCTACTTGTCATTCGTGTTTGCACAAGGGAGCAGGGTTTGTGTCTCAGTGTTAGAAAACAAGTTTTAAAGTGGACCATAAGAAGACTTGTTCATTTTCCGAGGGGGAGGAAATCCCCCTCCGTGGCAATTCCTTACATGGTCGAACAACCCGGTTTGCTTTAATAAAGCATCCATGACTGTACAGTTTGTGTTAGAAAACAAATCTCAAAGTGGAACCCAGGAGAATTGTTCCTGAACACGGGCCTCAGCAAAAGCCCAGGCCGAAAAGGTTCTAATTCAGGGTCTAAAGAGATTCTTACCTTTATCGACCACACCCGCACGTCGCGCCTGCTCGCACAACTTGTTGATCAGCACTTGATGGATCGGGACTTTTGCCGTTGAATTATCTGATTGAAAAAAAAATTCGGCTTTAAACATGCAGTGCTTATACACCAGATACAGATGTTTTTGTCTTGATTTCCAAGTGGTTTCGTTTACTGGAGATTGCTTACGCGTAATATAACTTTTGTTGGGACTCATTCTTGAGCAAATGTTTTCAAGTCCAGGTCAGGCAACCGTGAGGAATAATACCACTAGATAGCCTAATTCAGGCGATGTAACGTTACCTGTAATGATGTGAAAATGCTGAATAATCACAGATAAATGAACGGAATCATGACAACCCTTGAATGGCTTCATACAGATACACGATTTCCACATGTATAATAGCACATACCTTTGTCACAGTTCGCCTTGCACACTACGTCAACTATCTCAGCTGGTAAAGAATAATTCTGTGGCGTGGCATCGTCGAAAAGAGACAGTGGCGCTTCCAGAATCTGCTCCAGTGAAAGGGACAATCGAAACGCAGCCACGAGGCAAAAGCTAAAGCAAAGCCGCGAACTTTCCATCCCTTCACCTGCCGCTAACTAACTTGAATGGGATACTGGTGTAAAAGTACTGCAGCGAGTTGAAACATCGATCTTATATAGATCTCATCATATCGATCATCAGGTTAAGTGTGCGTGGATTTCCGGTCCACAGGTGTTTCCAGGTCATGATCCCGGGACGCCTGAAAAGGAGCTCGAGGCTAGGTTCCTGGAAAAACATAAACGGGACGTCCGGTCGGAAACCACCTGTATGTGAATCAAGCTTCAGCCTCCTCGTCGCAGACACGAGCCTGTGTGTGTGTGAGTACTGTGTGTGTGTGTGTGTGTGTGTGTGTGTGAGCACTGTGTGTGTGTGAGTACTGTGTGTGTGTTTGTGTGTGTGTGAGTACTGTGTGTGTGTGTGTGTGTGTGTGTGTGTGTGTGTGTGTGTGTGTGTGTGTGTGTGTGTGTGTGTGTGTGTGTGTGTGTGTGTGTGTGTGTGTACGATTGCGATCTGTACTTTCATTGATTGTCATATTATTCTCCATGTCCGGGGCGTGGCGCGTCACGCCTCTACAATGTTTCACATCCGAGCGTGGGGTATTCTAAAAGGTGTGGCAAAAATTGGCGGAATGTTTGAACCGGAAGCTGGCTGTCACACACGGTGTTGAGGAGTTGACAGGACCACAACCTCGAGCGGTAACAGACGCTTCCAAGATAATTAAGGAGGTTGAAATACATATTCAGTATATACATGTATGAAAGTATGAGATTAACCGTTACATCAGGAAATCACTTTATATGCCAAAGTATAGTTATAGCTCTGGGAAAGTCGACAGAGCAAAGTGTGGCCGCAAAGCGTAAAGTCGTAATCAGCTCTGAGACGTAATTCGTAATCGGCGGCGAAAATTTTGCGTAATTCGTAAGTACTACTCCCCCCTCCCATGCAGGCCCTCTTAATAGTGTGAATCAAGTTTCTGATACATCATTACTACGTTACAGTAGTAACGTATCTGTATCTATAGATTGTGCATTGATTAGCAACGTGGAAACAAGTGAGGTAAAGCAAGGATGTGATTGAATGTCCTTGGGTAAAGTAAACGACATTGGCTGTCTTTTGCCGCCGGGACCATCCTCCCGAGGCAGGGGTGCTCAAGTTCCTTACTGGTACTACATGCAGCAAACGTATTTGCCGCGGGATAGCTCTGCCGTGGGAGAATTGCCGGGACAGGACAAAGAAATGCTTCCGCGGGAAGATTCTATCAATACAGATAACCATTGATACCTTCTGGGACCTTCGACCTACACCCTGTCATATCCCATACAACCTCAGTGGTGTCACTCTTCTCTGTTTTCACTAATGAGACATTTGTATACTATATGGAAACACTAAACAGTAGAAACACAGACAGACAGAAATACAAACAGACACACAGAAACTGGGACGAGGACAAGGGTTCCTGCCGCCAGAACCAACAAGAAGAGACCTCTATATTTCCAGTATCATCATGTACACGTGGTTTCCAAAGATTTAGAACAATCTGAACTTTTTTATTTGGATTTAAAAATTATTGACACACCTACCTGCTCCTAGCCTGGGTACCATCCCCAGTAGTATATTCGCAAACTCTAAACTGGTTATAGAGTTTGCGAATATACTACTGGGGATGGTACCCAGGCTAACCTGCTCCTATATTTTCACCATAATAGAGAAACGAGGAGAATTCAAATTTACGTAGACTAGCGCTAATGTATGATTGTATACAGAAGCAACTCCTTTGTACTTAATGTGAAAGAATTTGTAAATATTGTAGTGCAAAGGCTGTGGAAGACGAAATACACTTTATCTCAAACTGTTCCTTTCATAACAACGCTCGAAATGAGTTGACTATTCAAACTTCTACAATTTATCCCAATTTCACTAAACTTACAGACAAAGAAAAAACTATTCTTCTTTTAACTTCCCAAAGCCCACTAATTTTGGAAAATGTGGGACATATATATACGTCTTCCATGGTTTAAAAAAGAGAAGTCAAACTCCTTAGACATAGTTTTACCCTGGTTTTCGACAAACACCTTTCATCATGTAGATTTTAGTTACCTTATACTCGTACTCTGTTTCATTGTTCTTTTATGTTTGTAACTTGCAATTAGCCCCCGGGCACGAATTTGCAATAATCTTCTCTTAACCCACATTAAGGTCTTCATTCATTGGTGGATTTATAACTGCACAAGTTTTGTTTGGTAAATCGAGCAAATGAAAAACAGATGTCCACTCCCTCACTCACTGATTGGTCACTGGAGGAAAGGATTCGGACATTTTCGCGTACTTCTGACCAATGGGAGAGTTCCTCTGGGAATTACGGAAAATGTCGAGAGTGGCCGGCAGGAACCGAAGATAACTTCGGGTATCAGTCGGGAAGGAACTTGAGCGGAAAGATGGCGCGGATTTGGGACGAGGTTGTGGACTACAGGCAAACTGCTGAGTTTTGCCGATTGCTTGGAGTCAGGGAGGATGCAGATTTTGGTAAAGTCTAGTTTAGTAGTTAGGAGGCTGTAGTTAAATTGGATCCAAACGCTCTTTCATGGTGGAAAACGCCACACGCCATACATGTGCTGTGCACGCCGTATCTGACTTAAAAAAAAAATGTCCATCCGTCAATCATGCATACTTCAGTACTTTTTTGTGAGCGCAACAGTAGAATTTATTTTCAATACACGTTGAGTTGGAAATGTCACTTTGACTTATATAGCCGAAGTTGTGGACAAAATAGGTATTATTCATGCTGTTGTTGTTCTTTCAGTAGAATTTTTGCAGTTACACTACTGATTTTGACGTGACGAACTGATCGATCATGATCTGAAACGGACGGTGTTTCAGTGTTTGTTTACTTCCAGCTATCTCCCTATCTTCATCACTTCTTGTATAAAGTTACACTTGGTCAGGGATTTATTATTATATTGATAACTTTAGTTCAGGTAATAAAGGAAGCTTGGAAGGGAAAATAATTTTTCCTAGGTAACGTTACGATAACTGTCATTCATTCCTTTTCAATTACAAATATGTTATTTTAAATAAAAAAGATGAATTGGTTCATGTTGTTACATTATTCAAATTTTACCAGCGTGTTGTCTTTGTTTATTTGTTTCACAGAGGACATTACAAAGGCTTACAGACAAAAGGCATTGAAGTGTCATCCAGACAAGGTACTGTCTTAGTTTTGCATTATAAAGAATACAAAATATGTACCTAGATGTTAGAGCAAAACTTTGAGCATTCTTTGAGTGCTTTGCTAGGATGAATGTGTTAAACAGTGCCTATGCTCCCGAGTGGGCGAAGAGGACTAAAGTCAGTCAGTCATTGAGGGAAATAGTGGAAAGTCATGGTTTGTGTTAAATTACAATCTTCAAAGAACCCAAACTTTGGTGTAGGTGTGATTTCACCTACACCAAAGTGTCAAAAAAATGGGGGGCAGCCAGCTTACGACACCAGCGCGCTAACGACTACTCCAAAAGGTGCGGACCTGTCAGATGAGTCAGTTGCTAGCACTTGAAGCCTCACTGTTACTGTTTTTTCTTTCTAGAATCCAGATGATCCTCAAGCAACAGCCAAATTTCAGGAGCTCAGCAAAGCATACCAACATTTGCGGGACTTGAAGAAAGAACAGGATGAAGGTATGATTATCAGATACAAGACTAATTGTCTTATCATGTCCTGCGTCCATGAATATCACCATGATAATACATGGTACTCCAAAAACATGACAGGCCTTCAGTGCCCTTCACTACCTTACGGACTTGCAATGCAAACTGTCACCTGTATACCCATCAGTACCTTACAATAACATACCAGTTACTTAACAAGTACTGCTCCATCTACATACCCTGATAAATGGTCAGTTTGAGTGAAAGCAATCTACAACAATGAAATTTATTACATAGCACATGCCAAACCAAATTGACATAGCGAATTTTCAGACGCAATTCGACGTGTCTTTCAACACAGGCCCCTTGAACAGGCCCCTTGAAAAAAAGAAATTTAAAGGAAGAGCATGTGTGGTGATGGAATTTGTTATTTTCAAAGGCACCCAGTAGTACTAGTAGTGATATAGTAGCACACAGGATGTGCATGAGGAATTTGTTTGGGACAGTTGTGAATAATTGTAATCAGTCCAGGAGACTCACAGCGGAAACTGAGTCATTTTCTCTTATTGATGCTGGTGGCTGGTGGCAATGGAGAGTGGACACTTTTACGCATCTGTTGTATCAAACACACAGAACTGAGTCATAGTTATGTACTTATTGGTTTGTAACTCCACCTGATTCAATGTTTACAGGCGCTAGGCAACTGACCCTTGTTGAGAACCAAAAAACGGAAATGACACAGCACCGGTATTTAAACCATTCAACTGTATGCCGGATGCTTTTCGTGCTTCCTGTGACTGTTTACTAATGAGTCAAAGCCAAGCTGTAAGGTAGATGAAAGGAGACCATAAAGGTGTTTGCAGAAGTGTGTGAATGCGGTCAGTCATGCAAAGGCACGAGTGGTCAAGGTCAGCCTGCCAAGGCACTTCATGTCAATTGCTAGTAACAACGTCCTGGGCAAGGAGTCTCTCTGATTTGGGAGTTACACATTTTCCACATACCAAGGTCTGAGTGTATGCAACTGGCAAGTCTTTCATGTGGTCAGGTCTTTCACATGGCCTGGTTGTTAGAAGGTGAGGAGTCAAGGAAAAATATCTGGCCTATGGGGACCGCCATGGAAAAATCTTTGGTCTCCTTCAAAACCTTCAAACATATAGTATAACCATAAAAATGGGTTCGGAACCCCGTGTTGCCCACCAGGTGCACAGCGGTCCAAGTATTTCTTGTTTGCATTTATAAATTTGGAGAATAATGGCTGATTTAAAGATCTATATAACAACCATTATAAGAAATAAATTTTATATAGTTCTCATGTATTCTAACTAATAAAACAGTGCTGAAAATGCTAAACTTGTCAATCACACTGCCTTTTCACAATACTAAAGATCGCCATTTTTTTCCTTCTTAGATTTTCAGAGTGAAGAGGCATGGGAATATTTTGATGAAGAGGATGATCCAGAAAGTTTTGCAGAGTTTGTGAGTGACGTCTTGTGACCGCCTGTCCAAAAACTTCCATCTTCTTTTTGTTGTTGTTGTTGTTGTTGTTGTAAGATAATCTTACATTTAATTCAGGACAGACTGGAAAGACTTGTGTAATGTGGCCTTAAGACTTCAAGTAAGACTTCACAAAACATTCTTTAGAAGTCTTACTTGGTAGTACAATGTATATGTACTGTAGTAGTATGTCACACAATGTAGTTTTTTTTCCATGAAAACAAATACTAGAACTGCTGTTATAATTGCTACAAATTGTGTTGTTTTGCTTTTCCCTCAGTTATTCTTTTTGGTTCTGAGAGACCTGTACAGAAGTGAGTATATAGACCTAATGTGACATTTTATAATGCTAAGGATTCTTGTTTAAATAGATTATTAGTACTTTTCTGAATGGTATGCTGGGGTTGCCCTATATAACTTTAGCTTTTCAACATTTACTATCTCCTGTAAATTTTGAAGTGTTGCAGTGGTTTATTTTCCGCCGTGAGCTCTTCACTGCAAATATTTGACACTGTGAATATGCATTTCCAATGTATTACCATTACTTCTGTACTACAGAATTATTTCACCTGTGAACTTATAATACAGTGAATATATTTTCCCCTTGTTCTATCCCAATATCAAATCTCAACAAAAACAAATAAATTTACAGTTTGTACTCCTGATTAGGGCTACAGGGAGCTTTACAACAATTAAGTAATTGACTGAGTACTCAAAATATGTAAAAACAATACATCTCACTCCCATAATTATGGAATGGAGTCAAATATATTAAAGCATATTTACCACTGATAAAAACAATATATTCTTCTGAATTTTGTTGAAATTGTTCTTGGTACTTTTCAATTTGGTAGGACATATGTTTACGGTATTGTAGCTCCAGTTTATAGTAGTAACATACCTCCATTTTGTGGATGTGTAATTATCCTATCTGACATTTGTCTCTTAATTATAGATGGGTATCAACCTTCAGAAAGAGACGAGTATCGCTTCTTCACACGCTTGAACAAGGTTGGCAATTTGACGTTAACATCAGCTGTTTTGTTTGTGTTGATATACATCATACTTACATGTGATTTATATAATACAACAAGGGAGTAACCTGTTTTATTTGTGGTACTAAAACATTAGGATGATCCAGATAGTTCAGAATACGTAACTAATTACATATACTAGTTTATCATCTGTATATTTAGTTAATGAACTTGCTGGTGCATGCTTTGCAATAGGTACTTCCAAACACAATCCTCAAACTGTATGTAAAAGCACTGAACCTAATCACAATACATTGTACATTTTTTCTACTTACCATCTCCTAGAAATTCAGGCGATACAGAACTGAGGATGAGGACTTCACAGAAGAGGAGGTTTGGTTACCTTAATTTGTCTTATGATATCAGATATATATCTACCATATAGATTAAAACAGAGTTAAGTATAAATAAGTTAATATTCATGAAGTTGAAAAAGCTCAGTGGGAATTAAAAGGAAGATTTCACAGGAATTTTTTTTCTTTTTTGATACTGAACCTGTATGTTGTTCCTTTTAATTTCTAAAGTTCTAATAAACTCAGTAAACTTTATGTAAAACACTCCCCTGTACTACATACATATTGGGTTATGATTGTGTTTCCCCAATTGTAATACATGTATATTATTTTGAAGCTGCCACATTCCTCTCTTTTCCAAGGAAAAATCTAATAGTACTCACTAAATGCACAAGTAAGAAAGTAATCAAAATAAACAGTATATAAGATGAAGAGTACACTTTCCATGCATAGTATTGACTACACTTTTGTGTTGTTTTAATGTTGCCCTGCAGCTGCAAAGACTTCATTGCAACAAGGACTACATTAAAGATAAGGCCCCAGGAAAGAAGAAGGTTAGATGAACTCAGCATTCTATTGCAATCTTTCCAAATGCTTGTTTAAGATATTGTGTTTTCTAATGTATATAATGAAAATGTGTGGTTTAGTATACCTCGGAAGGTCTAGTAAGTGATAAAACAAGCATTGTTAATCTTCCAGGTATTCAGCCTTGATTTGTAAATGACTTAAAGAAACCAAAGTTTTGACTTCTTTACAGAGGGGAAAGAAGAAGGTGCAGCAGGACAAACCTCCCCAAAATGTCCAGGTAACAGTTAAAGGAACTATGTTGTGTTGGGTGACTTGTCAGGCTTTTGCAATGTTGCTACCATGGTTCATTCTAAGTGGCAAGAGAATACAGTTATACTTCTTCTGTGTTGACATCAATGTAGTATGGGTATGACATTTGTTCATTAACAAAGTTGCCATCAGGCAGGTTTTAACATTTGTACCCCCACGAAAAGCACTACACATGTATTTTATTTATTTTGTAATGCCTTTCCGTGAGTTGTTTCCAATTAACCAATATTACACTGAACATTACTTCTCCTTAAGTTTACACATACATGTACACCATATTTCATATTTCACACTTTGTGTGCTTTGTTTACAGCAGAATCGTCCAAAGAAAACAAAAAAGCAGCTGAAAGCAGAACAGTACAGAAGAGAGCAGGTTGGTAACCTTAGTCACAATAAATTTCTTGCATCTTTTAAAATTCTTAGTCTTACTAAAACTTACCATCATCATTAGAAGTCCTTCTCATTATGAGGTGCAGCAAGGAAAGTTGAACCTCTAGAACTATTTATCAGTCATTGCAGGCAGAAGTTCAGGTCCTTGTTTATTAGTTTCGGTTTTGATTAGTGTCTTTAGTGTTGGAATAGGATGGCCTATCCTCTAAAACTTGTAATGCTGACTACATGTATATAATGTCAAATTTTCACTTATTTGTGCTTAAATGTGCTTATTTCTGCCAAGATGTTGCTCTTTTTTGTGAAGGATTCCAGCTTTGTACATTCTGTATCTGTATCATTATAACCGGTATAACCGCCCTTCGGCGAAACACGTCAGCTTCGCAGGCACGCGGCACGGCGGCAGCTAGCTATATCACACCGAACGACTTGTTACACTCAATCTTTGCACATTTGATTGCAGGAGTTGTTTAAAGCTTTCTAGTGATGATGCTTTGGTGGCAACGAGTTCCAGTCTACGATAGTTCTGGGGAAATACGAGTTTTTGAATACCTCAATTCTTGGTTGATAACTCTGATTTTTTAAGGCATGACTGTTTCTTGTTCTTTTCTGGGCTGGTATTGTCCCTTGGTACATGTAGGAAATCAAGCAGTTGGCTGAGGAGATTGAGAAAAGGAAAGCAGAAGAGCTGGAACGTCAGAAGAAACAGAAGGAGAAGGAAAAATCTACTTCCCTAAGGTGACAAATATGATCATCTTATTTGCATTGCAGATTGTTTCAATGGATTAGGATTTGTTGTAATCCTCTTAATTCAGGTTTCGGTTACAGGTGTACTATATTTGAACAATTTGTTCCATATAAAATGGTACCATTAGCACCAAAGTGCATAACATAGTGTTCTTAGCTTTTTTTTCAGCATATCATTGTAGCAAAGTCTGATACATTTTAGCAAATCTTGTGACAGTGTACTAGTACATTGTGTATTGTATCTGTATCTCCTATTATTTTAATGTAGAATAATTTAATGTCAGTGTCATCGGTAGTCTCCACTGCCATAGACTCTCCAAAACTTCCAAGATTCCACAAATGTTTTAAAGCCTCGTTGTTTACATTGTGGGGACAGGCACTGGTGCCATCTGTTCCATCTCCCTAACTCATATGCATCTTGACATTACAATTTTAGGTCTGAAGCAGACAAACTGTACAGTGACTTATCCTGTGCAGAGACAAAGGTAGATAGGAGACCTCAGCCAAGTATGCCAGAGGCAAATGCAGAGTTTGAGTTGACTGTGGATGAACCACATGGTAGTGTTCATGAAGGAGAAAAGGAGGCGCGGATAAGCCCACGGGAGCTGAGGAAGCAAAAGAAAGAGCGAAAGAAGCAAGAAAGAGAAGCACAGTTGAAGGTGTGGACAAACAGCTGTGTATTTTTTTTTATTCTTTTTTTTCAAATGCACAACTATAAAATGTATGTTTTGTGTTTGATCAAAGTCTAACTGTACCATTATGGAGTTAGCACACAGATGAGCTTTCATTCGAACTAAGAAGTTTAATTGGCGTCTAATTTTTTACATGAAGGACCATACCAAGAAGCTGACTTTTCAGTTTCCCTTTTTTAAGAAAGGTGTTAACTTGCATCTACATGTATATAACATTATTCAAACATTATGTGAACATACAGTGGTGTTTATTGTTGTGAAAATATGTATGGCTCTATGACAAACTTAAACTGTTCTCCAACTCAAAATTTGACTCACCAGGGAAATTTTCGACTGAATCACTCAGTCTTCCTCAGCTATCTGACCCAAATGCTGTGGACACGTGATTTTTCCCACGTGTGACGTCAGCAAAGGGTCAAAGGTTGTCTGAAGTCGATATCGCCCCCCGTCCCGGTTGAGCGATGGTTGAAGTGCCCTGATGTATATGGCCTCTTTTATGCCTCTCTTGAAGTAATCCTGTTCGGTATCCAAGATTCTGACCCCCTCTAGATCCACTGTGTGTCCCGGGGGGCGATATCGACTTCAGACAACCTTTGACCCTTTGCTGACGTCACACGTGGGAAAAATCACGTATCCACAGCATTTGGGTCAGATAGCTGAGGAAGACTGAGTGATTCAGTCGAAAATTTCCATGGTGAGTCAAATTTTGAGTTGGAGAACAGTTTAAGTTTGTCATAATGTAATTTACCAACTCAGATGAACTTTCATGCTTATGTATGGCTCTGTTGAGATTCAAATTGTCAGTGTTTGTTTTAACCTTGTTCAGATGAGGATGAAGACAGCCCTAAACATTCCAGATGCAAAGAGTCCAAAGGGGTAAGGTGATTTTGATTGGTTGAAGGTTTTAAGAGGGCCTGCATGGGGGTTGGTGCTCAGAGCTGATTACGACTCTATGCTTTGTAGCTAATGTACTATTACAAATTACGTTCATTTTTTGGGAGGCTGCCTATGGATTTCAAAGACTAAAAAGGCCTGGTTACGCCTTACAAAGAAGGGCATGCAGGCCCTTTTTAAGTCAAGTTACTAAGTATTCTTGGAAGTAGCCATTTTTACTGTACAATGTTTGGGGAATAAGTGCCAAAGTGGGTTCATGGTTCCTACTGTGTCTGTGCGACAAATGCATTGTGGATAATATATCAAAGTCAGTTGAAGGCTTCTGCAACAAAACATGTCTGGACATCCATAAATTATGGTCTAGACAAGAACTGGTGACAAGTTAGGGGTCTTCACCCACAATGCACCAAGCTGGACATGTGCAATCGAAACCATGAATGCAACCCGCTCATTACTGGTGGTACATTGTACGTACTATGCTGTGTCCCTGGGGCTGCTGTTTTAACACATGGACTAATAGCTGTGGATCTTGATGGGGAGGACTTGAGCAAAGGGTCACACTTATCTTGCTAAGTTTTGTGCTTTAGATCATCATTTGTAACTGTGACCAATGGTTTCTCATATTCTTTCCTCAGTACTCCCAGCACTGCAGACCAGTGCACTATAGAAGATCTGCAGGACGAAGCCTCCAGTGTGATTGACACAGATGTACGGAGGGCAAAGTTAGAGGCATTCAAAGCAAAGTGTCTGGCCACTAAAGCACAGAAGGAGCAAGATGTTCAGCTACCCAAGCAGGTAACCTCTATGAGTTTGATTACCCTTACAGTTGCCACACATAGAAAAGATGCAGGTTGATAATGTGATGTATTGTTTTTGTTTCATTGGTTTTTGGATGTTATGTTAAGTGACCATAAGCACAAAAAGTACTTAGGCATACTACTGAATAGCCAAACAAGCCATCATCGAGGCAAAATAAATTGATTTGTGTTTGTCTGGAAAATATTAGAAAACTATGTCTGTTTTTGTTAAACAATAGGTCTAACATCAGCATTTTGTTGTACTAGGTAGTTCCTGAAGATACACGACCAACTGATGAGTCAAAACCCTCATCACATGCTGATGTAAGTCACCCATCTGCAACTGGTCAAGGCTTCAGGGCACCAAAACCTCAGGTCTGTGATAAAGCACTGCTTGAGAGGCATATGCAACAGTATCATGAGCTGATGAAGCAACAACCAAGGAGCCATACACAGGTGACAAGAGAAGAATTACTATGGATATCCTACATAATGAAATGCACTGAAGCTGTATTTGAAATTTTTATCAACCAATTGCCAACCTTGGTGAATGATGCCCCCTATCTCTTGGCACAATACTGCAGGTTGGCTTGGAGTGACTTCTACTGAGTTAGAGTTGATAGGATTTGTTGCAAAAAGAACAATACTGTCATGGTATTTTAGGGATGCCCTTTAATGTATTGCTTGTTTATTCTCTGTATCTATTGTTGTTGCAGATTCAACTGAGTGTAGAGAGACAGCCAGAGTTGACACACACGTGGACAAATCAGCAGAAAAAGGGCCAACACAACCATGTAGGTATCTGCACTGAATGAGTATAGAACCACTGCAGAAAAATTGCTGTCAAGGTACATACAATACATACATAACAAAGTGTTTAATGTATTAGAGTTCTTGCTGTTTCATCAAGCTTTTTTTGACTTGTGCAGGAGGAATGGCAGGAGTTACGACGTGTGATGTTACAGCGGGAAAAGGAGCGGGAACAACAGCGGAACAGACAGGAGCAGGAGACACTGAGGCGAGAGAAGACATTGCCACATGGTGCAGCCAAGGAGTGGCCTGATCCCTCTGTCAACACTGATGCAACACAAGAGCAGTGGGAGGATGCAGGAGCCTCCTCAGGACAGGCAGCATCCGGCATGGCCAGTGGGTACAATCATTCCAGTCAGCCACTAGGGGAAAGGTGTCAATCTGAAGGTGAGTACTTGACACTGTTTTGCTGTGGCTGTGTGCTCGGCAGAAAATGCAAGCCCTAACAAAGCCACATAATGACACATTGCCTTAGTGCTATATAGCCACTTGGAAAAGCATTATGTTTCACCTCAGTTGAAGATGACTACTTTCCTTTCCCTCTAGGCAGTAGAATGGTGCATGAGGAGGTGTGGGAGGAGTCAGGGTGGGAGGACTGTGTACAGCATCAGGCCCCACCAGCAGCTCAGGCCTGGAGGAACACCAAACCTGCCCCTCCCCCTGCAGTCAACCGCTGGCAAGAGAGACTGGTAAACAACTTCACTTTATGTTTGTGTACACAGGAAATTTTTATGACCACAGTTTCTTTTTCGATTGTAATAAGAGTAATCATATCATACTACCTTAATTTATTTCAGGTACAGAGCTGTGCAGAAATCTTTTATGTCTCCATGGTATGATCTATGGGAAAACCAACGTTGCATTTTGCAATTGTGTAGTACAAACTACAAGCATCAAAATGGTACTACTAGAAACGTTTTCAATACATTGTTTTTAAAGGACTAAGAAAAAGAAAATGAGTGGTGTTGGTTAACTGTATCTTGCACCATTACAGATACATGGGGAAAGTGTTTTTAGCCTTAGCATTAAAATCAGGAGTCTCAATTTATTGATTTGGTTTTTTTTTTGTTTATGTCCCAGGAGTTGATGTCCCTGTGCCCCAGAACTGAGCAGGATGAAGAGGAGATGTTAAGGAAAGCCATAGAGCTGAGTCAGCAGCAGGCTGTAGAGGACGAGCACCGCAGGCAGTAAGGAAACATTCATCAAACTTGTAGAGAATTTGTTAATCAAAATTATCAACAGTAACAGTCCTGTTCTACAGGACTGTGTTCTGAGCTCACTTTAGTAGTAAAAGTGATAGTTAAAGGTGCCCTAAGCGATATCTGGCCGATATTAGGCTGGGAGCATTCAATTTCAAAAGTCTGTCTTTTTGTCACATTTTCACGTAGTATGTTGAATCAACCCTATCCTATCCCATACCGATAGTCTTGGAGCAAAAATTCGATGCCGCTTTGCCGTACGAACGCCGTGAAAAACTACGTGCCTCCCGCCGCCGGCAGTGGTGTCGGCCTATTTTTAAATTCCGAACGCCCGCAAACACTTCCGACTTCTTCCGACCAGAGCCGAGGATGAGTCACGTGGTTTACCGCGACCTTTCCGAACGCGCCGAATCAGTCGAACCGCAGGTCACCGCAGAACGTGTTATTCTCTAAGATACGGCATTTGCCGAGTCACGATTTGACCCAGTTGCAAGGGTGTAAGCCACTGCCTATATTGTAACAAAAATACCTCAGACCTACATAATGTTTATACTTTTACATATCTGCAGGATTTGCCGTGTACAACCATGGAGATATTTTGTGCATTGCAAAATGACAGCGAGCGCTACGGCCTTCGAAACATTAGCAATTTTTGGTCAGTTTATTTGTGCTTGTCTTTTTGGCTGTTCGACTGGATCCCATTAGCTAATACCACAGTGTGATAGCCCACTTCTTCGCCTTTACATTGATACCAAAGACCCCCGGTAAATTTTAGGACAAACGCGTTTGCCCCCCAAAAAACTATGTAAGCTAATGACACACACCATCCTGAGTTTCCGCTACATTTTGAAACATTTCGCGTAATGTCATAGAATTCGTTTCTTGGTATGAGAAATTGTATGAATGTGGCTACCACATGCAATATAATAAGTGATATGATAACATTCAAGTATATACAAAAAGAGGAATTTAATACAAGGTTCTGACCATTCAAAAATCGTCAAATTTGAAGTCAATCGGTTTCGAAGTCCTGCGTTCGATCCATGGAACCAAGGCAGCGCGTTCCATTTTTCGCGGAAGTTCCCGAAAATTGCCGACGGGAAACGTTGGATTCCGTGATTTCAGCCTTACTTACTCTAGGCTAGAGTAACTAAGGGTATGATCGTGCTGCTCGGTTTTGCGCAGTTTTCAAACACGCATAATATGAATTTAGCACGTAAATGTGCTAAGGCCACACCAATTTAATTTGTTGGTTCTCGGATTTTTTCAGAAAAAATATGAAGCGACAGGGCGAAAAAAAATAAAAATAAAAACAGGTCTAGGCATCCTGTTATAGCCCCAAATGCTACAATATGAGCTATGAAGTCAACAAAAAAGGCTGGGTTAAAATTTAAAGTATAAATTTTGAACTTTTAATCAAACCACTGCATTGATAGATGGAAAAAACTGTAACAACTAGGAAGAAAAGGAATTTCCTCAACTGTTGGGGGCAAAATATGAGCATTTTTGAGTTGATTCAGAACCAGAATCTTTTTTTTTTTGCAAATCAGAAAAAAATGAAGAGGCGAATCCGAGAACCAACAAATTAAATTAGTGTGGCCTAAACAGTGTTAGTAAATGTCAGTAACATAAATATTTCAGCATTCTTAAAAATTCCATATTTTGAGCACTGAAACTGCTTAGGGCACCTTTAAATACATGAGGAATATCTCCTCAGGTTCCTTTGTCTGAGAATGGTGTAAATGGGTGTCTTGAAGATGGAACCAGTTTGTGAAGTCTTTTGTTTCTAATACAGTGTATATAGGTTTTTATTCCCCTTCACTGCTGTGTGCCTGCAAAACTCGACAACTATACTAAAGCCTGTCTAATGCCAGTAAAGGAATAAAAAGAGGCCAACATATGTCATGTTTCTGACATGATGAGACAACATGACTGCACTACCTTACTTTACTAACTGTCTGTTTCTCGTCCCTTGCCAGGGTGAAGTTTGAGAAGATGATTGAAGAACAGAAGAGGAAATATAACGTGTTTCCCTCCAACAGTGCACAGTCCAGGAGGGCTGAACCTTACTACAACGGGGCCAGTGATGAGGACTTCCCTCCAATAAGTAATGGAGCATCTACGGTTGTTAGACAGGCTGGAACAAGCTTTGCAACTTGTCTCAGACAGTCAAAGACAGAATGCCAAGAACATCTGCCAAGGTCCCATGTTGGGATGTGTGTGCCAGTTAGTGAGGATTGGGAGTCAGATCTAACAGAGGTAGTTTCCCACCCACCTCTGATGAAGGATGCTAGAGAGCCATGTAAACCCATGCAGAGACCAGGTAGTGCTGTGTCCTCCAGAAAAATCCCAGCCAATCCCAAACTTCACAATACATCAACAGAGCAGAGTCTTGAAAGTCCAGACGATAACGCTACCGAGAAAACCACATGGCTTCTTTCTGGGGAGTCTGTGTCAGAACCAATATGGGAAGACACTCAAGATGAAGTTGTTTCTGGAGAAGGTGAGGAGATGAACAGAAAGGATAATGGACTGTCCAGATTTGGACATTTGTTCAGCAGTTCCAATATGGAGGAGAACATTGTAAACCAAAGTGAACCGACTGCATTGTCAAGGGACACAAGTGGTCTTTATTGCCCAAAGGAGAATGGTTCAGCCGGGGAAAGATTCAAAGATGTCCAAAAGAGCCCACCAAAGAGGCACCTGTCAGGTTGTGGAGACACAGAAGATAGCAACAAGTCTCTAAAGGCAGAGGAAAGATGTACCTTCTCAGGAAAGCCCTCTACTGTCTTCCCCTTTGGTGCAAGACAGCCAGAAGGATACTCTCAACTCAGGAATAAAGCAGATCAACCACCAGTCAGTGCACCTCCGGGTTTTCCAGCTCCTTCAATTACTCCAGGAGTGCACGTCAAGGCCCCCTCTGGGTTTCATGAGCCTGAGATTGGTCCCTTGAGGAACCCATCTCCTCCCCCATCAGACAGTGTGGGTATAAGCAACCCTAGGCCTCCTCTAATGACACCGCTTCCAGTGGCTGTTCCACCGCCTGGTGTGCTGCCAGGTATTCCACCCACCTTGTTCCCGCCCTACCCTGGTTACCCAACATTCCCAGCTTACCCCTTCCCTGGCATGTTCCCCTACCTCCCCATGCCAGCCATGCAGTCCCCAGTGTACATGTACTCCCTCCAACAAGTGCAGCATGGGATGGGCAAGTTGTCCAGCAGTCACAGCAGTGAAGAGTCTGGTGGAGAAGGAAATGGATACAACAGTAACAGACAAAAGATGACAAGTTACTCAGGAAACACTGTTGACCCGACACAGGCAGGTCCTGTTCAGGCAGCTAGCACAGCAGCATCCTCAGGGATTCCCACTGCAGCTAACTCATCTACAGTACACACCACACCTCATATGCCGTCCCCAGCTGTTCATCCTATCTGTAAGAACACAAACGGCAGTGAGGATTTGCAGGTAACACAGCAACTTGCCAATCCCAGGAGTAATGATGGTGCAACAGCAAAAAATAAGGAAACCTTTGACAGAAGTGTGTCCGACAGGATACAGTCCTTTGATGGTGAGAAAGATCCTGTTCCACACAGAGTAACCGAGAGGACGACCGGGCATTCAAGATGGGTGGGAAGTCGACCCTCGTCTGTTCGCCATGTCAGAGGCAGAGGGGAAGCTGTTGGTGGAAGATTGGAGACCAGTGGTGCTGCATTGGAAGGAGACTCCAAGAGAGAACCTGCAAAGACCGGTGGTCTTTACAACAAAATGAGGTCTTTCAAGGTACAAAATGCAATTCAGTTCTCAGTTGTGAAAAGATTTTTTTAGAGCTAAAAGTAACCTTACCACAAGGGTTCTGATCATTTCAAGTATTACTAACTGTACGGTATGTTCATGTATATTTCAGAGAGCACCTGTGGCACCAAGATTTCAACAGTTGCAAGATCAGCAGCAGCGGCAAAGGGGTGGACAACATTGAAGATCAGGACCTGATTTTATGACTTAGGCTTCTGTAAGGATTCTAGCTAAGACAGTTATAGACATGCAAGCTACATGAAGAAGTATGACCAAGCATAGCTTTATAGATTTGTGATAGTCTTTTAATGGGAACAGATATGTTACTAACTGATCCACTATTTCTGACTTTATTTGTCAACAAAGCTCAACTTGATGTTTCCTTTTATGGAAACAGAAGAACCTAAAATGCCAGGACCACAGGACTACTATTACTTGTAACTACTTCTTTGCTGAAGAAAGAAAGAAGAGCAGTTTGGTTAATCTCCTATGGAGGGCTTATCCATGCACCTTTTGTGAAGGTTCAAGCCTTAATCAGTCAGCAAGGGCTAAGTACATTTAATATTAGAACTTAGTGTGGTTTGACTCAGTTATTACTAATGTGTAGTTTTAGTACTTAACATTTAGTTCCTATTATTTACAGAATAGTTTTGGTTAAAGATTGTTATTTTGTTCAATAGCGATTTCAGTAAATGCTCCCACAAGAACTGCTCATCTGCTGCAGTCAAGCTTACATAGTGCCCAGATTGTTGTGGCCTTATCTTTGACTGGTCTGTGAACCTGAGTTTCACATCCAGTATGCTGTATCTCTCTGTGCTAAACAATTTTTAGGTCGATGAGTGTGGTACACATGGACGCATTGTGACAGGGCTGAAAAGAAATGCAAATGAACAACTGTTTTGATACAAACTGTCATCTACTAGTAAGGGGTAACAGGGTCGGTCCCAGGTGGTTTGATGTGTTTTGTGTGGAAAGATGGGTCTATGTAGGAGATATGTCCTCATATATCTATGAGAAAACATTTTGACCAATAAAACAAACTTTGAAAATGAGCATAAAAACTCATGTCTTTGTGCCATACACATTGCAAGTTTAGGGCACATTTATCAAAGATCAGTTTCCGCCAGTAAGTGAAAATGAATGTGATCTTCAGCCAGTGTTAGCTGAATTGACTGTTTGGTGTACCAGGGAAATTCCCTGACCTCGACTGGCTCGACAAGTACTGAACAGTGGACCACGCTAAGGATGGGGACCGGTTTTTCCAGCAGCACAACAGCCTGGATTCTACTAGTAACTCAGGACCTCCTGCTCCAACAGGGTCACTGACCTCTGGAGCACCAGGCCTGAAGGAAATTGGGTCAAACACCTGACAAACGGACGGAAATTCGCTTACCTTGTTCTTCAATTGAATCAGCTTAATTAAAAACTCCAAATGTTTAAACAAAACGCTCCTTTAAATCTAATGACAAAAAGTATTGGCTGTTAGGACTATGGTTTCATTTTCTTTTGAACGTTGAAAGGTTGAACTAAATCAGCGTCATATTTTATTCCTGAGGGGTAGTCACCCACAATGATTTAAAGGTCACTATCTGGCTACCAGAAATGTCATGCACTTTTGGACTCACCAGTTTTCAAATTTAATTGCAATTGGAAACAAAACATAGTTGAGGGGGACAAAAACAACTGTCAAGTTCTTGGCCAATATCATGAGAAGGTTTAGAAATGAGCGTTTGTGTCTTCAGCCACCTTTGAAGATGCACAGGCGTTTTATTCCAGGTTCACAGGCACACAGGGCAAGGCATTCTCCCGAGGCAGAGGTGCTTCCCCGCGTATTTGTCGCGGGATAGCTCTGCCGTGGAAGGATGTGGGCAAGGTTAACTGGATACTAGCCAGGATTTGTTTTGGCTGGTATTGTTGTGTGTTGTATGGGCGCGTGCCCGTGCTTTGTTCCACTCAGGGGTTCTGTTGTTACAGGGCGATACAATTACGCGATCAGTAACACCCAACTGTCGTGGCTAAAGTACTTGTAGGATAACACCAGGGATAACACTAGGATACGTTAATTACCGGTATCCAGAAAACTTTGCGGACCGCCAGCACACAGTTTTATCCAGCTGTTCCTATTGAAGGGTTTATATGGTGTACCCCAGGGGTCGCGATTAACAACGAACACCTTGCTTTTACATTGTGAACCCCACGTCCCATAATATTTACCGAAGTATGTGTCATACATGCGCTCATTGACCAGCCAGAAAACTTTAGAATCGCCCACCCTAACATCTGCTTGGAGATTCACGTGCGCACAGTGAGAATGTGGATCACGCGATGTATGGTGTGCTGCCATTACTTTGGGACAGACCATTTTGCGAGGGGTTCATAGTTTATGCCCAGGGCACAATAAGCGATTATATGTCCGTAAAAGGAAGCTACAGATTCTAAGAACATAAAAATTGGTCTGTTGTAATCATATATCTATGCGACAACAGTTAGATAGCAGGACTGTGGGAATTTGGTTGGATAAATCAGGTCTGGTAGACCCTGTGACAGAAATGAACTCGTCGATCGCCCCATTCTCAGACTTGTCAACCGGCGACAACATGTCAGAAACCGGCGCTCTGCCCATCAGCGACAAGTCCCCGTCCGACGTCAGCTACCTCACGACTGTCCTCTGCGCCATTGCCGTGTTCTTCTGCATCTTCAAGTTCGTGTCGCCATGGCTGCTCCAAGCCGTTTTTGGAAAGCGTTACGTGTCGCTTCCGGATCCCAAGAAAAGATTTCTAGACGAGGCGTGAGTACATAGGCCAGCCTTGAGTACATGTATTAACATTAACGTACATGATGTAACAGTACCTCGAATCTGGGTGGGTGGTTCAGTAACACACATGCCCTTTGTACTTCATACACAAACAAAGGTAGTTTACACGTGTATGCAGGTTTGACTTCCATTGCAACTACACGTGCTCGTCGTACAGAGTTGAATGCAGCCGTCACGGTAATTGAAGCCGGATGAGAGGTTTACGCCTGGTTTACGCCAAAGCAAACATAATTTGGATACCCAGGAATGAACATTTCATACAAACCTAGTATCCAGGTTCTCCCATTCAGCTGTAATCAGCTGATCTAGACATGTCCACTTCTACTATGACTACACGTATATGCCCAGACTGCCAGCCACATTATTGATGGTAACAGTTAGTTACACCCTAAACGCGGACAAAGGTCAACATGAATTTGGGCACACGCCCTCTAAAAAGTGAAAGCCCTGTTTGGCTCTGTGTATTTTCTGGACAGATTGGGCTGGACTGTTATCCCTGTCTGTGCACTTGTAAAAATGATCTTTTATTTACAAGACTGACAATGAAAACTTACATTGCCATGGCGATGGTGGTTGTTGTTATATTGTTTTCTTGGCACTGCCATGATTTCATGCTTTTGGGGAAGCCTTCTGGTCTGTCATGAGTTTTTTTTTAAATAACAGTTGAGGTTGCAAATCTCTAGTCTCTACCAGACTCCTTTGCAGGCTGAATAAATAGTAGAAATCGGCAAAGGGGGAAATCATTGGCCAGAGGAGTTGGCCGGCCATAGAGGGTCCAGTTTGCCTGCACGGAGTCTGTGGAAAGTCGCTACGATGAAAGGACATAAAATTAATCCGCTCATCTCCGGAACAAGGACAGTAGCTTAGCACCTCAGATCATTTAGGCCATAAACACCCCGGCGTGCAGGCCCGCGCGCAACCAAACCCCGCGGGGTCTCTCCTCGGGCCCGGGCCGATCTGCACAATGTGACATCCTGGCCACCGTGAGCAGGTTTGCTAAGTCAGTATCAGCTCATTACTTGGGAACTAATATCAGCACCTAGTCTCTGACATGCCTTATTAATTCAAAATCTAGCAGAAACAACCCAAATTTTCCCACATAAACACGACCAGCCCTCCCCACTCGGTGCACCTCGGCACATGTTTGGATAGACGAGCGTGAAGAAACCTGCAAATTGCTGCAATCCCTTAGTTCCACTGCCCATTTTAAACGCCAATCAGCCTGCTGAGGAAAGCATACATGCTTTATTGTTCTTCACAGATGTGTGGTTAAAATCTAATCCCCTGTGATGGATCTTGTAAAAGTTTGACGAAAGTTTTTCCAGAAAGCGCCCAGGCCCCGCCGGGCACGCTACCGACGAGTCCATTTCGAGGGAACACGTTGTGTGTAAAATCATAAAATATCTACCTTTCAATGTATATTGATACGACTTGAAGTACATCCTTTCAGTATGACAGTATAACTATAACTGTGATATATTATTACTGTACGATGTCATATCTGCTATCTTTTGATACGGATTTGAAGTATTTCAAACACGCTTTCCCCTACACACAGAATAGACTCTCCCATGTCCCAAAATGGCGATAAAGCCGCCCGTGTAAGAAATCAACACAGAAGACATTGTTTACGAGGGTTTTCTTTTGAATGTTCCTGATTTTAACGGTAATATAGCCATATAGCCCCTTAAAATGTAATTCTACCGTTTATTTTACAATTTCCATGGGGAATATAATTTTGACAAACCGTGGACAAGGAAAGTCAGGCCGATACGTTTTTCATGTTTTGGGAGGCCTGAGTCCCGGCCCGTCACACTTGACAGGCAAAGCAATAAACGGCTTACTCTGGTACTTCGCACCTATTTAAAACCCATTTGTGGACTTCAAAGAGGATAGCGACTTTCCACAGACTCCGTGCAGGCAAACTGGACCCTCTATGGCCGGCCAACTCCTCTGGCCAATGATTTCCCCCTTTGCCGATTTCTACTATTTATTCAGCCTGCAAAGGAGTCTGGTAGAGACTAGCAAATCTCTGGGAAAACCTGCCCCACTTTTCTGTGAGCCCTGGGGCTTGTTCTATATATACACAGGGGAGGGTAGGAGTGATCTTCTGTACTGTACTGCAGTGTATCTGTCTAGACTTAACAGATAACAAGGTATACATAGTTATATATTTTCCTATCAAAATATTATATGTCATCACCAGCAGCAGTATATTAATAAACATTGATAGTCATAAGCTTCATTGCATCTGAACACTGGTAATTGTATATCGTTATTATGAAGTTAAATACCCTATGTGCATCACTGCCAGAATTACATGGTACAGAATTACAAGGTACATGTGCCTTGTTACATGTTAAGTCTAGACAGATGTTACTGTTAAGTCAGTGCAGTTCAGTAGATCACTCCTACCCTCCCGTGAGTGTTAGTGAACAAGCCCAAGCAAAGTAGGGCATCCCTGC